CGGTTTGGATTCGGAGCATGGACATGGCACCACTCATCAAGCCATGCTGAGGCAGCGTCCCACATGCCACAACTAGAAGGACCCACAACTAAAAATATACAACTATGTACTGGGGGGCTTTGGGGAGAAAAAGGAAAAATAAAATTTTTTTTAAAAACCCACTTTATTGAGGAATGACTGATATACAAAAAGCTGTACATATTTAATGTGTACAACCTGATGAGTTTCAAGATAAGTATACACTTGTGAAACTATCACCATAATCTATGCCATAAACAGATCCATCACCTCCAAAAGTTATCTCCTGTCCTCCTTATTTAAATTGCTTTTTGTGATAAGAACACAACATAACATCTACCCTCTTAGCAAAATTAAGTATATAATACAGTATTGTTAACTACAGGCACTGTAGTGCTGTACAGTATCTAGAGGACTCATTCATCTTGCATAACTGACACTTCACACCCTTTGACTAATACCTCCCCATTCCCCCTTCCTAGGATGAATCTGGACATTATTCTCAGCGAAATAAGCCAGGCACAGAAGGACAAATACTACATGATATCACTTATGCAAGGAATCTGAAATAGTCAAAGCACAGAAGCAGAGAGTAGAATGGTGGTTGCCCTTGTCTCCTTTCTTGATACTCAGCCAAGGACAGAAGGAAAAGTCAGGCTTCCGGCAGCTATGTTGGCAGGGGCTCCATGGAGAGGTAGAATCTCTTTGCCCTTGTTGTATTACCCCCTCTACACCTCCTCAATGGTCCTCCTGAGGCTAACAGCAGAACTCTCCTTTGTTATAGCTGGACAAACACACGGACAGGCAAATAACCAAACCTGTCTAACCAGTGCATGGATCCTCATCCTTGAACTTTCATGTCTTGTCCCTAACCTTGCAGGGTCTCTTGAAAGCTGACCCCCAGGGCACATATATTTTCAGATCAGCAGAGAATGGTGCTTTAAGTTGATAAGGAAACATCCTCAAAAGCTCAATATTTTCCATTATTTTTAGACTCTGTACTCTTCTTTCACAACTCATATAATATCTCAACTGTACCCTCATGGAATGTTTTTAATCATTTTGTGATTTTTGCAATACAAAAATGCTATTAAGTATACTTTGTTTAGATGCATATGTTTTAAATATTAAAATATTTAAAGTTGACCATAAGGTCATTTTAAATTAGTTTTTAACAACAATCATTAGAATAAAGAGTAGTTTTGGCATTTTCCCATTTAATTAATGCAATATGCTGTTTAATTTACTTAAACTAATTACATATGAAAGTCCATATGATTTATGGACAAATAATTCATGATGTCGTGGCATGTTTGGTTAGGAAACTGGAAGGTATCACAAATGTAGGACAAAGTTTAACTATGTGTTATTGTATTAAAAACTGCTTTCAAGATTTGCTGTTTGAAATTTCAGAAATGTTGAGTTTCAAAAAGCTAACTCTAGGGCCAGCCCAGTGGCATAGTGGTTAAGTTTGCGTGCTCTGCTTTGGCGGTCCAGGGTTCACAGGTTCAGATTCCAGCAGCGGATCTACACAGCTCTTGAGGCCATGCTATGGCAGCATCCCACATACAAAGTAGAGGAGACTAGAACAGATGATAGCTCAAGGCCAATCTTTCTCATACACAAAAAAAGTTAACTCATTTATTTTTATAACTTTACATATGTTTATAAATGAAGAAACAAGAGATAAAGTTTCAAATTGTGATTTACAAGCATATTTCCACAATTGGTACACTGCTGAGTTTGCATGCTTGGTTCCTTCAAAAAGGAAAGTCAAATTAGTTATAATCATGACTATACTTTTTCTCAACATATTGATGAATTAGAGTACTAAGGATAACTCAGTGTTGAGTGAATTTGGATTGAATGAATGCAGTATGTAGACGTATGTGGTGAAGATCACTAAGAGGTACATTTGCAGAATAAGTATGCATCCTGCCTTTACCCATTGATTGAATACAGCTTTACATTAAACAATATGTGGCAGATTAAACCCACTGCCCCTGCAGATCCACTCTCTATCTTTCTCTACCTTACACCCCCTTGTAAAAAGTTGACTTTTATGGATTGCCTCGAAAGTATCCTTCATGCTCTGGTTTCTACTGGGTTTGGCCACCAGAGATTAAAGGTGAGTGATATTGGGATATTTATTCCTCAAGACAGTAGGTCACCTCAGCCTGGCTAAGCCTCCTGACTAAAGGTTATAAGTCCTTTGAAGAGGTCCTCTCCATCTCCTTGCCTCTTCTGACTTGGCTGGACCATAGTTCCCTGCTCTTACTAGTCTCAGAGTTCTTCAGTATCACTTGCAGTTTCTCCACACTCTGTCCACACATGTTAAATATTCTCTTTATTAAAAACTCATCAAATCATATAATTTGAGTGTGAGTGTGCCATCTCTTTTCCGCCTGGACCCTGACTCTTACATAATGTAGGACTATGAATAAAACTATGTAATTCTCATAAACATCTCAGCCTGTAGTAGTCAGCAAATGTTACAGCAACTGGGCAACTGAATCCTGAGCTCTTTCGTCTGATATTCATTAAATGCCACACACACTCAGCCAAAGACATATTCAAAGCTTGAGAGAAAATCAGTCCAAATATTTACTTTATTCTTGATTTTTAAAAGTAGAAATTGAAACCACAAACACTCTTTAACCATAAACACTCCTTAACAACTACAAAAGTTTGCAAACCACCAGTTCTAAAAAAAAACGTTTTGCCAAGTGAAGTATTTTTCACCCCATCCCAATGGGAAAATTATGGAATAATGTGTATAGGGATGTGTGTGTGTGTGTGGGGGGGGGGGTGGTTTAGAAATCTCTGGATACATAAGAATGTACAACCCTACTGATGAAAATTATGCATAGCAGCAAAGTTTGAAATGAATTTTCAATCACTTAATCTGTGAATAGAAACTGAGCCACTAGTTTTCCTCTAATCCAAGGCAGGAACCAGGAGTTAAAGAAGAGTCATTTATCATACAGCAAGGAGACATGCGTCTAAGACTATATCATGCCATAATTGCTTGAGGCTCTGAGAACTCATAAGTAGCTAGATTATAAACACAGGAAATGAATATAATTGTACATGATTATGAGAATGTTATGTGAAGAATTGGGATCACTGACTTTCTTGCTGATAGCTGTGACAAGCACAGAGCTGTGAGCATTCCAAGATGGCTGCCTGAGAACACTGGGCAGGAAAGGAGACATGGTCGCAGCAACTCAGAGTATAGGAAGTCCAGTTCTTCCCATTCAGTTGACGACGCCAATAGAAGACAGGGCCAGAGGAGGAAATGTAATAGACGCTAGGGAATACTTATCACAATATATGTAATGTTTATTGATTTTCTTTTAATAAAATTCCTCCAACTCTTTTATGGCTCAAAAGTTGTGAGGGAGGTGCCAGCTACTGTTCTCCAGTGAATATATTTTTCCAAAGTGAAGAACCTGTTCATCTAGATCCTTCCCACCCTTCACATCTCTGCCCTCAAAATTAGCTGTGCCTCTCTGTTTCTTCTCTCTTACATACACACACACATGCGCGCGTGCACACACACACACACAAACACACATTATAATGGGGAAGTTGTAGATAGTCTACAGTCCACTAAGTAAGAGAAAATCCATAAGCCCCAAGGCAATACCAGAAAGGGAAGGGTAGATGAACCCAATGAAGGAAGGTCATGTGAGAGTAGAGGGCTGACCTCCTTTTTCCCGGCAAAGTAAAATGGTGGGTATGACTCTTTCTACTCTCCCTTCCTCCTCATCTCCTTGTTTTTACCTCCTCCCCCTTTCAACCTATTTCATCTGTCCTCTTTACAGGCTAGAAAGGAACCAGCTGAGAGTCACTGGTTTGAACTGGAGGAGATAACCAGTTATAACAGATGGCCATATCCTTGAGGCTAAGGTGTGTAGCCTTTCAAAGAAAAACTTGGTAACCAATGGCTACAGTATGATTTTTTTTTCCAGGCACTGGGAAAAACAGAAAAATTAATGAGACTTTTTCCAGGTCTCTCTCACCCTCAACACCTCTACCTCAGGCAGCCAGTATTTCCTTGTATCCCTCTGTTGTCAAAAATGCTATACTGCTCAACTCACCCCAGTGCTTGACTGAAAGGAAACTCATGAGTAAAGAAAGAAATTAAGAATTAATTGATAAGGAATATATGCTCTCAAATTATCTCACTCTCTAGCAAATCAAAACTTCCCTTTACTGAGCCCAGCTTATTGGTGATATCATTAAAAGAAAAATCTTTGTAGTGTGATTCATCACCAGTTTAACCTTCCCAGAAGATCCTTTCATTCCTAAAGTAGACCTCTGTACACTGAAAAAAGCCATAACCCAAATCCGTTGGGGTCAATAACATGGAATCTATGGAATTCCACAGCACGCAGCTATCAGATCCCCATCTCACTTTTCCCAGCAGCCCCACACCCCAAGGGGCCTGTAACCAGTCATACTAAGATAGAGACGAGACAAAAATAACCACAGAGGAGAAAAGCATCTCTTTCCAGGAAGTGGATAATGCCCTAGGAGAGCGACACATTTCCTACTTCTGTGCTGTTCTTCTACAGAGTTCTGCTCATCCATGATAATATATCAACGGAAGCGGTGTTGTTCAACAACCCATTGATCTTCTATTGGTGATCAAAGAATATGATAGGCCAGTAGGCCTCAGGAGGGGGTTTTAACAAGATAGGAAGTGTTGTTATTTCAACTATCAACAATGAAATCCTCCTTAAACGTGCATCCATCTGTCTTAAAATGTGCTAATTCCTTGTCTTAAGACCACTGCCTCTTGCAGTGAGTTCTACAACAAAAATGCCTCTTAAGGAAAGGGAAGCTAGAGAAATAAAGCCTTTCGGAAGGGAAGTGACGTACTGAGCTCTAGACTCGGGTGGCAGGACTCATCTACCTCAGGTGCCTGCAAAGGCCTGGGAAGCCTCCTGTGATGGCCATGGGGTTTGGAGCCTTACCTTACCACACTGCTTACATTTCCCCTCCTGTCGACGCCTGTGCACCCAGTGATGACGCACAAAATTCTGTGGGAAGACGAAAGTAAATGAATATGTTTAAATTTGCAAACCCCAATATTAGTTTTTAAAATGACTTAAGAATACAGATTTCCATAAAGCATAATCCAAGCCCATATTAGCACACAAATGTGTATGGATGATTTAACAATAAACATGAATCCACTTGGAAAAATAAAGCTAACTCTCCATCTCCAGCGATCTTTCAGATTTGTAGAAACCATTTATCTTGTCCTCCCTTTGTGTCTTCCTCGTGGCAAATGGCCATATCAAAATTGCCGTTACTCTGCTTTCTTCTTAGTAAACACTGTGCAGATGTGTGAGCATGCCAGAGGACCTTATACTGGAAGGAAACTGAGGCAGGTAAAAGAAGTATCCTTAGAGAACTGAAAAGATGAGGGGAGAAGCTAAAACAACAATGTCCAATTTTTTAAAAAAATATGTATTTAATGCTTTTCATACGTCAGGCAGGCACTGTACTAAATATTCAAGCTAGAAAGAACCTAAAGAAATTAAGTTCTCTGAAAGAAATGAATCTCCTGAACCAGGACATAGATGGTGAGAATTTTCACTAGCAAAAGTGAAGGAAGAGAAAAGCTAAAGGAGAGAGTTGATAAAGATAAGAGATGTGGGTATGTCATGAAGTTTTTGCAGTAATAGTGTATTTAAACTGTCCTTGGGTGCTCTGAACTAGACCAGCTTTCAAGGTCTATTCTTGTCTCGGGCTGTAGGAAACACAGAAAGTCCTTTTCTTCCCAAATAGATAATGTCTCCTAAGGCACAGAGTCAAGGAGCATCCATCACTACTGCTGTTAGGATACAGTATAAGAAGAAAAGTTGTCTTCAGGCTTAATGGTGCAGGAGAACCCTCACAACTTACACACAATCCATCTCTCTTAGGCCAATACACCTAAAATACTTGCTACTTCTTTTTCTCCTGCCCTTTTCTTAGAAAACGTACTTTACCTGAGATTAACATGCCTATTGTCAGGCCACAATCCACACTTTCCCTTTAAAAGGTCCTTTAATACACATTCAGTCAACTACTAAATGCCTATTTATCTGCCAGGCACTGTTCTAAGTGTACAGGTACATAGGAAATAGATCAGTGTCGAGAAAAAAAAAATGTTAGCAAGACATGAAATTCAGAATGACAAAATCACCTCTAACAAGCGTTAGCATTATCAATCCCAAAATGCCACCTCTATTTCTCTTCATAATGTCAAATCAATTTAAATTAAAACTAAACAAAGATCCTGGATGAATAATAATGGCCTTTTAACTATAATAAGATATAAAGAAGCATAATGGTCCAAGTAATCAGTCTAATTTTTGTCTTTTCTCATTGCATCAGTTTAATAAAACAAGGACACGATTTTTAAATTGGTCTCAAAAAGAATGTAATAATAATAGTTAACATTTGTTGAGTACTAACCGTGTACCAGGCACTTTTTTAAATGCTTTACATGTAATAATTTTAATTTTGAGAGAATTTTCATGAGTAGAGGTGCTGTTCAATTGATATGTATCAGTAAATCCCATGAGTTGTTAAAGATATTGAAATATTTCTATATTGGTTGGTAAATTGCAGTTTAGTGCCCCTACTATCCCCCAGCTCCTCCCTGACTGCCTTAGCACCCACCCCACTCCACCCCCTCAACACTGGAGACCATTTCTACTTCCTCACTATTAAGCAACTAGAATGTTAATTTTTGGCGTAACAGGTTTCCAGGATTCTGTCCCAATGAGCTCTCTTTTGAAAACAAATCATGTTGCCTGGGCAATACCATTGGGTTCCCCCAGCTAACTCAGAAGACTGGGCTGCACCCAACTGATGGTGGTCATCTACGCAAGCTTAAATATCAACATAGACAATTCTGGGTCCCATGGCTGTCTGTGGCTTTCAGGACAGTGGTAGCAAGTTCAGGAGCCTGCCCAATTATCAGTGTCCATACCATCATTTCAGTGCAAAAATTCTACTGAGGATGAAGGTATTGGTTCCTCCACCTCTCTACTTCACAGGTGAGGCTGACCTCGTCATCTTTGCACCCACTAGAGTGATAAGAGCTTTAACCCACTGCCTGTTTAGGAATAAGGGCTGGGGAAGACTGGAGGCAGCTATCAATTGTCCTATATCCCAATTCATATTATTGTAGGACATATTATCAGAAGGTTTTACTTGAATTATCATTATCGTACTCATTTTACAGATTACAAAACTAAGGTACAGAGCAGTTACTTCAAACAGAAGGGTCTGAGCAAGGATTCAAAGACAGGCAGGCTGTCAGCAGAGCCCATGCTCTTACACTAATGCCTCTCCTCTGCTTTGAAAGCTCAGGTTCAAGCTCCTTCAATAAATGATTTCAATGGCTGTCAGTAGTGGAAATACAGAAAATATAAAAAAGTCAGACAGTATTATAAGAGAGAAATTTACTATAATTACTGTTAGTTTAGCAGAAGCTGAGGACAAATGAGCAGTATCATTGATGGTAAGAGAAATTCTCTGCTTATGGAGATTATAAATCACCTAATGACTATCAATTAAGGAGGGAAACATTGGGAGAATTTGATGCAATTACCTATGTGAAATCATGGCTGACTCATGGGATTATTTAGCTAGTGACAGCTCTAATCAAAAGATTAAACCAACAATTTCCAGAAAGTAACAATTATTTAGAAATTATGACTGACTTATGAATCATTCGTGCTGTAACATATACTCTTTGGTAAGCAGATTTATCATACCATATAGTTTAGTTTATTTAGGGAAGAAAAGAGAAGATTTTTAAATTGTTGATTTAAATATTAATATTTATGACTCTGCAAATTGTTAAACATTTTTAATATCATCCTTCCCAGGAAATACTAGGTAGGAAATTAAGGCATAGATAAAGTAACTTAAACAAAAGCACTAATATAGAAGAAACCAAGTAACTGCCTCCAATCTATAGCTCTCTAATTTGAGATGCCAATCATCCTCTACTCAAGGTCTTCTTTGCCCCAGTATAAATTTATTTTACCACTACTTAAACAGTTTAACAAAGTAAACATCCATTAAATGTGTGTTGAATTGAATGGAATTCTCAACCTAATTTCTTTGACGATTAAATCATGTAGTCACCCTTTTGGAAGATCATCAATTGCCTTTATCAATCAGGGGGGAAAATATATCTAAGGAATCACTGCTGTTTTCTAATCCTATTTCCCAAGCACTTTAATTTTTCACACTATTTCCTTTTGACTATTAATATCTCCTAAGTTTGCTGAACTGAAATTAGACTCAGGACTCTTACACTGCAAATATGAATAGCAAAACAAAGCTTCTAAGACCGTAGCATCTTTTTATTGTTCACCAATAATCTCTGAATTATTCATATACTATCTTCAAGAACTGGGTAAGGAAAGGGCTATTACTCATGAGTGTTAAAAACCTCAGTGATACATTATTTCAGCGTTCATATTCAGTATTGTTAGCAGAACTATAATTGCTCAATTATTTTCAAACAGCCATTTCAATTCATAATATTATTCATAGAGCTCTTGAAAGGATCTTAGAAATTACAGACCAATCCATACAGCTTATGTCTAAGAACACTGAGGTTCAGAAAGATTAAACTTAGAGAAATCCAACCAACATTCATTTAAAAAACTTCCAAGTGTCAGACACTCCACAGAGCACAGGGTGCGGTGATTAACAATCCGGGCTCTAGATCTCAGCTCTAGAGACACCACCAGGTAGAAAACAGGCAGAGATGTCATTCGAACCTAGGTCAAACTAATTCTAAAGTGATTGTTCTTTTATTTACATTAAGTAAACTACCTAAAGTCTCAATTAAAAATCTCAAATGGGCCATTGTCATAAGTTTCATCTTGAAACTGCTGTCTTGGACCAAGAGTTCTTAGACATTTGGGAGAAATTAATCCCTTTATAAATGCGTTCAGTCAACATATATTCATTGCTTGCATCCTCTGTGTCCTAGTACAATGCCTTTGGGACAAATTCCAAGAGTGACCTCCCAAAGCTTACACAACAAGAGGACAACAACAAACAAGCAAATGAATAATGCCCATAAATAATTACAAAATACGAAGTGCTCTCAAGGGGCAGAACAGGGCACTTTGATAAAGAACAATGTACAACCTATTTAGAGGTGGCCATCAAGGAAGACCTCTGAAGGGATGATATTTGAGCTGAGGTAACTATAAGAAAAAGCAAGCCATGCAAAGAGATTTCCAGGACAGCAATAAAATACACAAGTATCTAAAGGTGGGGAATATCTTGACGCGTGCCTCAAGAATTAAGGGTCCATGTGGCAGCCAGATGGGTGTGGAGAGGTAGGCTGGAGCCAAAATACGAATGAAGGACTTCTGACTTATCATGCCAAGACAAGGGGTGTGGTTTTTCTCTAAATGCGATGGAAATCGCTGGAGAACAACATAATCCAACTTTGATTTTAAAAGATCACCCTTAAATCATGGTGGATTGAAGGGGAAAATAAAGGAATCACAGAGAAGCTACTGCAGTGGTCAAAGGGGAGAGATCATGGTGTCTTAGTATAAGGCACTGACAATGGAAATGGAGATAAACAGATGGTTGAAGATATATTTTGTAAACAAAATTGATAGGTCTGGCAAATGAATTAGATGTAGGGAGTATATGAGAGAAGGAATCGATACGACCCCCCTCCCTCAGTTTTCTTGATTGAGGAGCTGGATCAATAGCCATCTCATTATCTGAGGTGCAAAAGAACTGGAAAAAAATAGTGTTATGGTGATAGAAATAGTGAGTTCAGTTTTTAATGCGTCATATTTGAAATGACTGTGATACATTCAATGAGCATGTCAAATGGAACTTCAAGAATAAGTGTGGACTAGGAATGTAAAGTCAGGAGTTGTCAGCCTAGACATGATATTTAAAGCCATGAGACTGGATGAGCTCTCCCAACAAGAGTATGCAGAGAGAGAACATGGCTAAGTACCAAGCCCAGAGGAATATGTAGAAATCAGAGGGAAGCAATGAAAAAGAGTGAGAAGGACTATCCAGTGAAATAAGAGGAAAATGAGCAAAGATGTCAAGACAGGAAAGCATTTCAAGAAGGATAGAACATTGAATATTTTGAATACATTTGAAAGACTGAATAAGAAAAGAACAGAAAAATATCTAATGGATTTGGCATCAGGGTGATGTTGGCAACGTTGACAAAAAGCAATTTCAGTGAATTGATAGAGTAGAAATCAGATCAGAACAGGTTAAAATGACTAGGAGGTGACATACTGAAAACAATTTATGTAGATAGCACTTTCCAAAAGTTTAGCAATGAACGCAAAACTGAGAATCAGAGCAGCACTTAAGACACAGTTGGCAGTTAAGGAATATTTTTGTTTGTTTAAGACAGGAGATAATAGAGCATGTTTACGGTGATGAAAATAATCTAGAAGGGGGGTGGAGTTGAAAATGTAGGAAAAGAAGAAATATCAAGTTCTAGATAAGATCACAACAGAAGGTGTCCAAACCATTTATGGAGGATCCAGCTTCATAGATTAGAAGTGATACAGCTACTGAACTCAAAAAAAAAAAAAAAAACAGAAAACTTTACAGTAGTAAAATGAGCATGCAATTACAATTATCTATCCAGAGAGAGAGATCAAATGACAGGGAGTTAAAAGTAGACATATGGATCCCCTGGTAGGAAATTCATAACTCCATCTTAAAACACAAAACTAGTCCATCTATTTTCCTAAATGAAATTTCTCCTTCATTTGAGCTATCACTGAGTTGTTTTCTGGCCAATGCTATAGCGCACTTGGGTGGCATCGAGGGTACCCACAACCCTATCATTTTTCTTAGACTTCCCTCACCCTATGTACGACTTATAATCTTCCTATTGCTGTCAGAATGGACAAGCACACTGGGAGAGGACAACCGAGGGGGACAACTATTTTTCCTCTCTCAGCAACCTCCACTCCAAGCATATTGTCTTTCCATTTTTTCTCCCAATCTCCTTTTATCGGTCAGTAACAATGAGAGCATTCTTTTTCACAGTGTCCTTTTTCATTAACTGTCACTAAAAAGTCAGTGATCCTCTTTGTATGCAGACATCTATTCCTCTTCTACCCCTTCATGTATTCTCATGGCTTTAATTACTATCCTGGTATTCTCATGATTCACAAATGTCTTACCTGTAGCTCAATCTTCCTCACAAACTCCAAACTCATATACCCCCTCGGCTTTCTGTTGGGCATCTCCAATCAGGGGCCTCAAGGACACCTCAAACTTGAGATGAGTTTACAACTAAACTCATCATCTCCCCACTCCATCCTCAAATCAACTCATTTTCCAACATCTAATTGGTTTCCAGGGCAGAAGCCTGGTTTATTTTGGGATCTTCTGTCTTTGTGTCCAAAATCCAATCAAGGACTACATCCTGTCAATTTTATTGCCTTCAAATTCATATCTACCAATTTTCTCCATCCCCAGTGTTACTCTTAGTTCAGATCACTATCTCTTGCTTAGATTACTAGAATAGCTCCTTAAATTTTCTCCATTCCTCCAATATTGCTACTCCTGAACTACATGCTATTCCCTCCACCCTGTAGCCAGACTAATATATTCTGCTTAAAACAGTTTAATGCCCCACCCCCACCGACTGTGATGAGAAAACACTCAACTTGTAGCCTGGCTTACAAGGAGCCTCAGGGAGTAGCTCCTGCCCATCTCATGGATCTCATGTCTTACTCATTACATTCTCTTATGTCACTTTTGTGCTTGTGTGCATGTGTTCTTTCTGTCTAGAAGGCTCTCACTCACCTCCTAACTCCTCCCAACCTTCACTTAGATGACTCCCTGGAGTCTCAGTTAGTTGCTACCTCTTCCAAGAAGCCCTTCCTCTGACCTCTTCCCTCTCTCCGATTCACCACTACACAGGGCTAGTTTGAGGAGTACATGAGCTGGGAGAGTTTCCAAGGAGGTAAATCTCTACATGGAAATGAAAGTAATCTCACTGGGAATGTAAATGGAATGGAGAAAGTATACTTTCCAAAAGTTATCTTTACCACACTTGTTCTTATGGAGAGAACCATATATGATGCTAACAGCTGGGCAGGCTCAACTCTATTCTAAGGAGGATGGGTTCTGTTAATTGCAGGCTTTTATTTTGCCAATTGGGAAGGGCAATTTGGGGCCTGGAGCTACCCAGGCTAACCCAGGAGGGCTGAGATCCTCTCCTGACCATCTCAACCTCTAACTTTTCCTACACTGGGCTTGGTCTCCCCGAAATAAAAGCTGAACAAACAAATATGTCTGAGTGCTCTCCTCCTGTCTGTCCTCCTGTCATGACCTCTGCTTACCACAAACAGAGCCGCAACTGCTCTTCACTGTAACTTCCTGTTTACCTGTCTGTCTTCTGTAAGGTCAGGGGCTGAGCACTAAATGTAATTTTATATATATGTGTCTGTGTATTTATTTATTATTTTTATTTTTTGTTTGTTCATTTGTTTATTTAGCAGATGAAAATATTGAGATTTAGAGAAATTAGGTGTGATGCCCAAAATCAGACAGCATTAGAGCTGATTTTGAAACCTGACGTCTGACTCCAGTGTTCACAGGAATACTCAGTAACTATGCTTCCCCCTGAATAACGTCTACCCACTCAAAATTTTAAAATGGAATTAAAATGGATCTAGAGACAATAAAATGCTTTTTCTTTCTTACCTCTTCAATTCTACCACCACCCCTGCCCCTACTCTCTGGTTCATTCAGTAAGACCTTAGCTCGCCAATACCTTCCACAGTAGGAATTCCACAGGGCAGTATACACACACTGAAAAGACTGGGGGATTTTATTGGCTGTATTTGTTGATGTATTAACAAGAAACTGATGTGGAATGGAGGGAGATAGACTTTTTCAATCCCTGTGAACATCTACAAATCGAATGAATAAATGGGAAAGGAAAGGTGGTATTTGAAATAGAGCTCTGAAATACTCACTTCTCTTGGCGATCTTGAGCCCCCTTCTCGAAATGTTGGTTTACATCTGAAATTAATCTGTCATTTAAAAAGAAAAGTGCATTATATTAGGGATAAGCATCACACTAGAATGAGTTATCTGAAAAAAACCAACAATGACAGATATCGAGACTACAAAACAAAATCCCCCAAGAATAAGGATGATTTCTTCTGAAGCCATCACCTTAGATAATCTACAGAGATTCCAAGTGATTCAATATCTCCACTCCATGTCTCTTCATTCTCACAGATGAAATCAAAGTATCTTTAAACAATAATGCTCTTACACTGTAAATTTGAGAAACTGAGATAATAAAGAGTCAGAGGAAATATATGGCAGCTGAAATCATCCAGCTGTATTTCAGATATGAAAAGTAGGAAAATATAAACTTGAGAAATGATTATTTCCACACACACCAAAAATCACTTTATATTTGAGCATTCAGCACTGCCTTTCTTTCAGATGGGGAGATCTCCCAATACATTTACATCTTCTTTAGCTGCTAGATGAGGTGAAAGGAGTGCAGAAATGAAGGACATAAGTAAATGTGGTTGGGACAGCAAAAAAATATTAAGATAAAATACTAGTAGTCATTCCCACATAATATCAGCTGGCAACAACTGGTAATATGTCAGTGAAACTAAACGAATGTCACAGGGGACTCAAATATTTCCACACATAGCAGCTCAAGAGCATCGATAATGCACAGAGAACAGCACGAGGAAATGGAGCAGGAGGCGGGGAAGGAAGGAGGATGGCAGACAACCCACGGTTGGAGCCTTTCACTTCCCTAGGTGACAGATAAACGGACTACGCAGACTCCACCTCCTCTGGAGGAAAGACACCACCAGGATGTCACCACCAGCCCCACCCACACATAAATGCTGTGCAGGCAGGAGTGCTGCTCTGAGAAAGGAATGAGAGCCGGCTTCTGGCCTGGCTTTGTCCTTCGCAGCCACTTTAGGAAGAAGTAAACTCACAAAGGTCGGACATACCTAAACAAGGATTTTAAAGAGCTTATGGATTTTTTTTTCATCTTTAAGAAAAAGCATCTTGTGGAAAATCCTGTGGGTGAATAACAATTCTTAATATTGTGAAGAAAATTAGCGCATACCAGGCTTTCCTCTCTATTTCCCAAGTCAACGTAAAATGATATCAAATTATACTTCAGCAAACAATAGAGTGAATAAATCTTAAGCCTTGTCTTTCCGGTATTAATCTGGTAATAATGTTGGATGTCTAGATTTTTCAAAGGGGATTGTTTTCAAAATTTGGAAATAGAAATGGACACCTGGTCTTTTTGAAGTCCAAACACCTGCAAGGTAGCAAAACTAGCAGCAGGTGGCGCTGTCTCACCTTTTCTAGCTGTTCAATGCAGGCGGTGTGGACCACGATCTTACAGACCGCACACTTCCTCCTGAGAGCCGATTTCTACAACGTTCAATTCAAACACAAGAAAAAATGTTATCATTGTCTGTCCTGAAGAGGTCCTCGGTAGCAAAGAGAGTATATGTAAATAAAGAAAACACTGCAACTGTTTATACTACAAAGCAAACTTAAAATTTCATCTTAAACATTCAATAATACAACAAACTTCATCAACAGTCCTTTGACCCACCAAGTATCTCCATGACTTAGGGTGGCTTAGATTTTCTCTTCAAAATATAATCATAATAGCTGACGCATATTGAGTATATATAATATGAACTAGGCTCTTTATTCTGTTATTTCTAAGTTTTATAACCCAGCAATGTAGGCATTATTACACTCTCTTTTTTTTTACATTTTTACTTTAGCAGTTAGGAGGCAGAGACAACATCTAAAGTTAGGTCGAAGTTCAAAACAAGCATTCTTTCGGGGTGGCCCCGTGGTGTAGCGGTTAAGTTTGCGTGCTCTGCTTCAGCGGCCCAGGGTAGACCAGTTTGGATCCTGGGCGTGGACCTAGTATCACTTGTCAAGCAATGATGAGGCGGCATCCCACATAAAACAGAGGAAGGTTGGCAACAGAGTTAGCTCAGGGCCAATCTTCCTCACACACACACACACACAAAAACAAGCATTCTTTCTCGACTGCCAAAGAGTCTGCATTTCAAGGGACAGTCAATTTAGGCTTCTATCCGAGGCACAAATTTATACTAATCTACTTGAGTTTCTGCCCAAATCTTCCAGAAAGCAAGAAGACAAGTCTAACTTTTACACCCAATAATAATAACAGCAGCGGCAGCAGCAACAGCAGCTAATATGATCTTAGTACTTGCTCTGCGCCAGGGGCTCTCACAAGCATTTCGCAAATAGCAACTCATTTAATTCTCATGACCCTAAGAAATAGGTACAATTCTTATTCCCATTTTACAGACGAGAAAACTGAAGTACAGTAAGTGATCTGCCTGAGGTCAGATCAATAGGGCCCACACAGCCGGGTAGTCTGGCGCCAGAGCTTATGCCTGTAAGCATTATACCATTTGGCCTCTCTGACAGTCAGTACCAGTTTAAATTCACAATGCAAATACTTTTTGAGGTTTATCTTTCCTCTAGCAATAAAAAACAAGCAGCAGGGAGAGAGAGGAATCGGTGGGATCTCGATTCATTACTGCCAGTACCACATAGAATCTAAGCTAGGCACGCTCAGGCCTCTCGACAAAGGACAGACGAGAAGGCGGATCTGCAGGAATAATTTTGGGTTTGAACACTGAGGGAAACTTATGAAAACAAAGCCAATCTGTGAAGTCGTCTCTCAAAGCATCTAAGTGTAAAGGCCCTGAGTCCCTCCCTGAAGAAAGGCGCTGGCGGAGATTGCTGGCAACCTCGCCACCTCCGATCCATGGCTGCCCCTGCTGACATCTATTTTCTGAGCCAACTGTGGCAGGAAGATGGGAAGGAATAAGGTGTTGCTGCTACCAAAGGAGGCTGGAAGGACTGCAGGCAACCACCTTGGAAGGGGCAGTATCAGGAAAGAAGCTCTCTCCTGCCTCCCCGATGGCTCTGCTCACTCAACATGGGGTATCCAGAGGGTTGTCAGACACCAACAAAGTACCCAGAACATGGCAGTACTATAGCCGCTAAGCTCGTAGTCTACATCCCAGCCGACAGGTTTAGTTACCCTGCTTGCAGATGCTTTAATTACTCTTGGCTTTCCTCTGCCTGAGGAAAGAACATGGTCTGGAACATTAAATAAGTTTGACAATCAATTATTCTGCAAATAACAAAGGATAAGGGAAAGCAAAGCATTCTAGCTACACTACTGAAAAGTGTCTCGGGTCTACTACTAAAGGGACAGAAGGAGGGGGAAGAGTTGGAGGAGGGAGAGGAGGGCAGAAGAACAAGAACGAGAACAAAAGAACAGCAGCAGCAGCAGCAGCAGCACTCAAGGCAACAAGAATACAATTTGAATTTGCAAATTTTCAGGAGCAGAGTGCCCATAAGCAAATTATTGTTGTTCTCCTGTTTCCTCTGGGTCTCCTGGCACAGGTGGCTGCTGAAGCGCCACCTGCAGAAAATGCATGGGGTACCTGAGTCATGTGGCTAATCAGAGTCACATGGATGCTACGGAAATGAGTTGATTCCAGTCTCCTCATTATGCACAAAACCCCTGGTCGATTACACTGCAGACCAGCAAAGTAACACTCCTCATGGGAGACAACCACTGATGGGAAATGATTTAAGGATGCGTGAAAACCTCCTTCCTTACGAGTAACTCCTGCCCTGGTCTAGCTTTGTACCTGGCCCTGCGCTCTGCATTTACTTCTGCAGAGCTGCAGGGACCCCATGAGGTTCCAAAGAAGTCACTGAGGGTGGTGGGAAGAGCACCCAGCAGGCTCAGGGATCCACGTGCACTCTCTGAAACCAGAATACCTCTCCTTTGCCTTGTTTTCCACATTGGAATTTTAACTCAGAAGCTCTTTTGTATAAAGGATCTGGGCTAGAAGTGCTTGAGAGTCACTGAGTTAAGACGTCGTTTCTCAGCTTCCTGGGACAACATGTAAATATACCAACATCATCCATCTGGAATAATCCAAGCGCAAAGTTCTACAGATGATAATAAGTGAAATAAAGTGTTTCTAAGTTACAAAACTCATTTTATTTAAACAGTACTGAATTTTAAAAGACCTTCATAAAATATAAAATTATATATTTCTGTGCCTTTTGAGGCAGGATATAAAAAAGCATAATCTGACTTTTTCTTAATAAACACTAAAACATGATACATTTCACTACAAAGAACACAGTCATTTTTCTGTTTCCTGAATCTCTGTCAGACCAGATACCCTTTCAAAGTCAATGTGCCAGTCTTTTGTTTCTCCCAATTTCCTAAATGACAGCTTCTAAATAGTTTATAGTCTGAGAAACCAGATAATTGAGGTTTATAATCATATGCAAAATTAAGTGAATAAATTCTCAACAAAGGCCTCATGTCTTTTTCCATAGTAATAAAATACACAGATTTTAGTTCCTCAACTCATGAAAACTGTTCCAGTGACTCAGTCTTAACTGCTGACTTCTTGGTTTATGACTATGTTTCAATGGGTTAAAGTGATTTGAAGTAGCTGGATAATAAGCTTCTGGGCAGAAACTGCTCAAACTATATAGAATTTTTGTGCCTGGTTATAACTTTTGTTGGCAAGATTTAAACTAAATACAAAGGTAAAACACAGAAATCTAGACATTCTAAATACTGTTAAATATTCGCTTTTTCTTAAAATTCTCTTATTTAAGCCAATGCTTCCTTTACAATGAAAGGTAATAAATCAAGAAAAGTCATTAAAATTAATGCAGCAGCTGAGTTGTTATTCTTCATATCGGGACATACTTGTTATAGAACTCAGCACAAAAATATAATTTAAAAAATAAATACAGCCTGGGACCCAAACATGCTCAAAAATTAAAATTATAAAAATTTAATAATTCATTCTCTCTATGAATTTAAAGGTCAATTATGCCTACTGCTTTAAATACCAAGCAAAGTAATCTCACTGCCCTTACTAAGGGTTTCCTGATTTGTCAAAGGAAATCCATTAATTTGTAATTGTGTGTGCGTGTGTGGCACATCTGTGAAAACTAAGATGATATAGGATATAATATAGATCATATCTCTTCATGTCATGATCAACACTTACTTAAATAATAATAACACAATGATACACTCTGCCCTAGGATAGCAGGCATAATCTAACTAGCAGACACAACAGAGATTCTAAGAGAAAACATTCAAAGCTCTGACTTGGCCCTACACGTTTCCCGTGCTGCAGACACTGCTGGTATTTGAGGCAGTGACAGCTCTTCACCAAACTTCAGCTCATATCCAGCATGGGAATAAAATCGTCACAGCCTAGACCACTGGAGCTGGGGATGGTGGCTGGAGTGGGGACAAAAGTATAAGAGGCAAGCAGTGGGAGAAAGCATATAATTGTCCCTGATACAGAGTTTATTATTTAATCTTATCCCACCCACCCACTTCCTTTGGTTGTAAGACCCAGATCCATATATACCACCAAGAAAGTTATTTTTTCCTCCTTTGAGCAAGAGATGTGATTTTTGCTAAGTAGTAATGAATATCTGGTTGTAGTTAATAGGGTTTGACAGATAGAAAGAAAAAGAGAGAGAAGGAAGGGAGTAGGGAGGGAAGGGAGGAGGAAAAGGAAACCTAGTTTCACAGGCCTACGATTTGTGAAAGAGTTGGGGCCTCCTTGCTGCCCAAGGTAACTGAAATTAAATGTCACCCATAATAGTCTGAAGTTTGACCCCAAGAAGCATGGTTCAACAAGGCTAGCTATGCCCCTTCTCAATAAGACACACACCAAACCTTATCTCTCCCTGAAGATGGGCAAACGATCCTACCTGCTTGACCATGTCTCTCCTGCTGTATTCTTAAGGACACCAACACATGCACCTCTACAAGTTCAATTACTAGAGACCAGAAGTGGAAAAGTAGGAGGAAATACTTATAGTCCTCAGGGCCAGCATGGTAACCCCTTCTTGGTCCCCCTGTCTCAGGAGAGCTCAGAGGCCAGAGCCTGCTGCTGGCCAAGCCAAGTTTGGGGCTTGCAGCATCAGTCCAGACCTGGGCTCACACACCTAATGAAGGAATCACTGCTTCCTTCCACTTAGCCTCACCCCTGCAGTGAGGCCACAGTGATAGAAGGATGAATGGCCAGGGAAGGGGCTGCAGGTAGGAACCCAACCACATTGGGAGTGGGGAAGAGGGTAGAGCAGGCACTCTGGGGAAAGGACTGGAGGAGACGCTAAGTGGAGAAAAGCTGGAAAAGGGGGGCAGATGAGGCCGGTGGGAGGGACTTACCCTCAAGCTCCCACCTAGCTGTCTTCTCCCCAGTGATTTCTCAGCCCCTTCACCTTTCCCAGATCAGAAGATTCATGCTGAGGAATAAAACTAAGGGAGAACTAGGAATCAGGCAAAGGGAAAAACAGCACGGGAG